GCTATAAGTTTCGTAATTTTGCATAATATATTTCGTAATATTACGTTATATTTTGCGCAATATTGCGCAATTTCTTGTGCAATATTTTGCCTAGACCGTAATTATTGCGCAATATTTCAAGGCATAATAACTTACGTAAGTTTACGTTATTATATTTCGCTGATGTAAGAGGTTTGGATTGGGTGGCCGTGTTATTAAGTTGTGCAAGTTCATCAGCAGATTCTGCTTGTAAAGCAGCTAATGTATCTAATTTCTCATTACATTTAGGACATGTACATTTTTTATTATCAATGTTGGTTGTATTGCATTTTTTACACCATTTTGATTGACCTGCGGCACCTTTTTGATTTTTTATACTTTGATCAATGATATTCATTGTTTGGGTTTTTTTAGCTATAAGGTCCTTTAAAATTGAGGATAAGTATATTTTTAATTCTGATTCATGTTCTTTTTTTATTTCTGGTATAAGATAATATAACTTTTCGTATTCTTCATCAGTTAACGAGTCATTAAGCCAAGGTGCGATTACAAATTGAGTTAAATCATTTTTATTCATGTTTAAAGCTACAAAACTCATAACTGTGTGATTGATAACCGTGTTATATCCGTAATCAAGATAATTATGTCGACCTCGTTGTTCATTATCAAAGGCCAGGAATGAAAGTCCTTTAGGTAAAGATTCACTTTCAATTGCTAACGATTCTAGCCAGTTAACGAATTTAGTATAACTTCTAGAACTAACTACGTGATTATCAATGTCAACAATTGTCTTAGATCAGAATAGTGAATATTTGATTCCTGATATGGCTAAACTTATTTCTGATATGTAGTTTTTATGTCTTAACCCATATATTAAATCAATCGCAACTATTTTTTTAAAGTTTTTTTCATTTGATGTACAATCACTATGATTATTACTATCATTATGAGTAATAGTATTAATAAAGTTAATAATGACCAGGTTACAATTGGCTAGCCAATTATCAGGTGTAAAATTTAATAAGTTATTAAGTGAAAATTGCTCTCTATTAAAAATTAATGATTCGATATCATTATAAACGTTTTGGCGTTCTTGGTTTGCAATTTGGATTACGGAA